ATACTCTGTGTGTTCAAAAAAATAGTCTATATTAATTGAGACAGAACTAACAAGTAGTATTCATGTTCTTCACAATATTGGCATGTGACAGATCAATATTAACAACCTTGCTTGCGTAATTGGATAACCTATTTTTTGTTGTTGATATTGCCCATACTGTGGCGGCCGATTCACTCAAGTATTTTTTGTGTTTTTTTTTTTTTTTTGACACACAACTCAAGTACTAAATAGGGGCTGAATTGATTCTTGTTAATCCTTTTCGTAATAAATATTTAGTTTCAAACGTCGGCGTATATTTTATTGTTGTTGGGTACAATGAAGCTGACCAAGACATGATTTACAAACTCGTAAAAATTCATAATTGTACGAAGAAGAAGATTCTGCTGTGGGGAATCATATAATCGTTGGAAAATAGATTGAATTTGGCTACTTCGATCAAACCTGATTTTATTCCTTCCAAATATGGAGATTTTTCTGGATCACAGTCAATGTCAAAAAACGCACCATATGTAAACTTTTCGTCTATAAAGCTTACACCAATAAACTCTGCAGGAAAGTTTATAATCGTGTACAATATTACATATAATAAACACAGTTTTTGAGGGAAGGAGGAAAGAAGGAATGAGGAAAATGTTAATTATGATCGCATAATTAGATGAGATAAATTTCGGAACTGAGTATATAACACATCATTGTAGTTCAACTATAAATGGCCTACTGAGAAAGTGAGAAACTTGTTGCCTTGGTGTTATCATGATTCAGTTGAGGTTGTGCATTTTTTGTTCTATAAAGAAGGCAAATGTCTGAATCACTAACCTATTACAACACGTTGATAAGACACATCTATTACATTATGTCGGAGTCAGGATTTAACAGTATCCGGAGGATCATCTAGCCATAATAATGGCTGAGATTAGTAACGAAATTTCATTGCTGAGATTAGGCATAATAATGGCTTTATGTGAGGAGAAACAAAAAAGGAATATTAATTAGCTCAATATTCTTGATCACAGCATACATTTCACTTTGAGTTGATAACTTAAAATAAATAAATAAAAATAAAAAACCAAACTCGGAAAGAACTGCCATAACTCGGAAAATTCTGGAACGATGAATGATATGTATGGTTCCATATCCTTTTTTTATATGATGAGTTGACATGAAAAAATGGAACAAAACAGAAATAGAAATAGTAATCCTTAAAACCAAAATCCAATGCTGTGTGACCCCAAAGATATCGATACATTGTTATCCAAACCCGAAATCCCATTTTGTGTAACGTAAAGTCATGCCTATGATAATTGCGCATATCTTTCAAATATTCTTTGCTTTTCATTAATTTATCGTTTTTTATTTTATTTTAAGACCATGGGTGCTCTTGATCTCGTGGAAGATTCCTATTTAGAAAGATCCGATCGATCGAAAGGCCACAAAAACAAATATATGTCTCTTTGCCCACTTCGATATTATTCTAGTTTCCAACTTCATCATCGTACCACATTTAGAAGCACAGTAGCTGGCCGGCTGGCTATAAGCCCTGTAACGATAAGATATTATTTTTGCAAAAAGAACCCAAAAAATAAATAAATAAAAAAATAAAGAAAAGGAGATTACTTGATATTATCCCATATTATCCAAAAGGATTGTAATTTTCTTCCATTATTTTCTGGATGATAAGTTTGATAAATAGTACTACCAGTACCTCCTTGTATTTCAGAAAGTACCAGAAAGATTTAAAAACGATCTTATCTAAAACTACACCAACCATAACAGTACTTTGTTGTCACCATTGATGATGCCAAATTTATAATTAGAGGAGTCCTCCCAAACTCACTCACATTTTGGATGTTTAAAGATTCAATTATTAGGTCGTACAATTAATACATCAGTCATAGCCACACACAAATGCAAAATTGTCTTTTGCCCTCAGGTACTACTTACTGGGGTTTCCTGATGATTTCGATCAGTCACAATCGATGAGTGGTTAATTGTCATGTATAACTGATGTTTATTTTCAGGAATGATAACATATTCGACGCCATATATACTTGACGGCCATATCCCAATTTCGTTTCTTCTACATTTGATATTTTGTATTAGGCTATTATAGCCTCTTGAACACCCCAAATTTAGAAGGAAAAATATGATTCAGTTCGTTGGAGTATATTGTTGATATGAGAAAAACACTACAATTCTTTGATTCCATGTTACCCGGACTCTTCTATTTGGGGAAAATACTCGTGTCGTGTCGTGTTAACACTGGTGTTGGTATGAGTGTCGGATGTGATATTTTAGCCTAAAATGTCCAAAATTTCTAAACTATCAATGGGTCGGACACTCAGATCCCCGCACCCGATACGACAACCGTATCCGAGTCCAGGTAACATAGTTTGATTATTACTTGTCTGTGTCCATTTTCCTACTTTACGATAGCTATGAAATCTCATGTACTATTATATACCGTGCGAGTTGGGTAGTCTGATGATGAGGGCCACATGATAGTGCGATGATATTGATTTCCTTAGGGGTGCGAACACCAAATTCAAATGATCATCATGACCATCTGATAGAACGGCATTAAGCTAACGTTTATCCTTATCTTCACTTATATTATTAATATTTCACAGTCACATTTTAATAATGTACTACGCTTAATGTAATTTTTATTTCAATGAAATCGATTATTATTCATTAGACGTACGGAATTTGTGACAATAGAAGGTATGTGACAGTTGCAATTTGGGACGCAAAAGGAACGGACTCGGTTTGTGATTTAATTAGGCGGAAAAAAAGTTGGTGACAAGCCATCCTTCCACTTTTGATTAGTTTTTATTCTTCCTATCGCAGGTCCCTACATATACTACGGAAGGTAATGATTACAATAAAGTTGGTGGATGTATCTATAAATTTACTGTATTTGTTTGGCTCGCATCACCCATTTTTTATCTGTCATCATTTGTTTAATCCCACCACTGCCACTCACTCGTATGATTAATCGTATCATTATCTTCCTGTCAAGTCCATCAAATTTCAAACTACGAAGCAACTGTATCCAGGATTGTAGGTCCTTTTTGGGTTAGGGGGAAAAAGAAAATCTCTATCTAGGGGTTAACCTACTGCAATATTATCATATCAAGATTCAAATATTGATCATAATTAAATAATATTTCATGCTTCTGTCAGGATTCGAACACTGATTATAATTATCTTTCACACCTACACCAAGTGTTTATTGGAGATTTAAGTGTCAATTTTTTATATATATATATATATTACGCACCTGGTGTCCGAAGTCATTTCTCCGAGTAATTCGGATTTAAGTACAACTTTGATTTGTATGTTTGAATTCTCCAATATATTTTTAAGTTTTAACAAGTGGTATATATCACATTCTGAAATTTATATTTAACATAAAATGATTTCCCTCTCATTGTAATGGTCTATTTTATCGAATCAAAGTCAAAATATACTATGAAAATGAAAAACAAGAACTTATATAGAGTGGATACGTAGCTAGTAGGTAGTAAGCCAAGTATCCGCGCTAAATTCCATAATTTAATTCTTGAGGATATTACTTCGTTATGTGCTTCTTTGTTACAATCTAAGATACATAATCATGTGACACGCATGATTCAATCCGAACTTCCCTTTTTTTTTTCCCCGTGGAATAACGTAATTTGTTGAAATAAAATCGTGAAATACAATATCTAACCGTATCAGTGAAAAGATTAATCAAATATTTATTCTTCAGGAAAATCCAACTAGTCAACTACGGTAATTGAGTCAAATATTATGCCAGCTTAGGGCATGATTTTCCAAACTTACACTACAATACACTTGTACTTTCTTAGTTGAGAAAAGGTAAAAGTGGGGTTCCGTTTTCATGCGGATAATGTCCAAACTCCAAACAAAAGTAGTGATGAATTCCATGAAGCCGAAGAAACATTATGATCATCAAATAATGAAATTATGTATGCCAAACCTATGAGGTTGCCTAAAACCATAATAAGCACAATCTGAAATTGGACCGTACGGATCATAAGAGTTACAAGTTATAACCGAGTAAAAAGGGTGTGTCTAATTTTTCAAGTGTTATGAATCCAATCCTGTATAAATGCTAGTATGAAACAACTTGAGATATTGTAATAAACCACTATGTGTTACTATTATTCATCAAAATGTCTACAACAAAGCAGGATTGTCATTAGTTGGTGTTGCTTGGGTGATTTAGACGCGTGATCAAAATCAAACAGAAGAAGCAACGGGCAACGTGGGGGCCACATTTCACAGAGATGGTCCATCTTAATTCGTCAATATATCCGAAGCCATTCTTCTTTCGACTAATTCTCTATAGGAAAGGGGCAGGGGTCAGGGTCAGGCGGTCAGGCTCACGGGCAAAAACAAAAGCGGCCGTCCATCCTCAGCCTCACTCAACCTCATGTGCGACTTCTTCTAAAGAAATCCAGTGGTTTCATTGGATCCTTCCTAGCCAATTGCCTAACTTAAAAAGTATAACTATCCTTCCTGGGTTGCAAGATTCTCGAGTAGTAAAATGGTTAATTTCTAGGACTTCTCCTAAGATTTGGAGTACTAATCATCCTTTCAAAGCTTGGTAAAACTGTGGTCGTCCCCTAACCCTTTTAAATGGTGTTTAAGTAACGGTAAAAAAAAGTGCTATATGACGAAAAATTCATTATTCACGTATTCTTTTGACAATTCATCCAATCACTACAAGGATGAATTTTTTATCCGGAATTCTTTGTACGAAATCCCAGCGTTAAAGTTCGATGATTCTGTAGCTATCAACTATAAGGAGTACATGTGGCAAAATCAATGGGGATGAACGGTTAGTTTTACAAATCTTCAGGGTTTGACCCAAAATTCTCGTAATGATCGGGGAGGACTGTGGTAATTAATCCATGAAATAAAGATGGTTAGGATAGGGAAACACTACCAACAGCTCTTTAGAAAATTTATCACATTTCCATCACATGGGGGCTCATGATCATGAATGAATTATGATATTCCTCTACACTAAATATATTCCCTCCAAAAAAGAAACCAAAGTTCTGCGCGGCAGAACATAGAATTAAGGAAGGGGAATCAGGGTATCTTTTACCACAAATAGTGAGAAACACAAATTTCAATTAGTCAACTCTGTTTTGGTTTGAGAATGTGAGATCAGACGGAGGGAGGAGAAAGAAAAACAGGGCAAGGCAGGTTGGCTGGCTGACTGCTTGTAGTGCGGCTGCATATTAAGAAAGAATAAATGAATAATCCCTTCCCAAGTTGATGTTGTTGTTGGTTGCTGTTGATGAAGAAAAACCAAAAACCTTATCTAGTTATCTATTATCCGTTCCATCATCATCTTTCACAGTTCACCTCCTTTTTTTCAATTTTTTTTTCTTTCTTCCCTTCTTCTTCTGTGGACCTGCTACCATATGCATGGGTCCTCATTTCTTTACTCTCTCACACACTCACACAGTCATCAGAATATGGTCATACAAAAAGGACTAAAGGTCAAAGAACGATGGAAATGAAGGCAATGGGGGGCAGAATAACTGAATTAAGGGCAGGCAAGGCAGAGTGAGGCAGGGGAGTAGTACTAAGTACTGCTACTACTAGTGTTAGTAAAAAGAGCCAGTTTTTAATATCCCCCAGTTTGGTGGGGCGGGACACGTGGTTTAGTTATGGCAACATGTCCACTTGGCTTAATGTCAAGATACCATCTGTAGTTGTTCAAATATTATGAAAGAAGAGGAATAGAATTTCTGGACTTGGTAAATGTTTAAGGACCAAAAATGGGATGGATAGATATGGAAATATGGTTACCAATACTTGCTTGGCGAAAGTGGTAAGGTATTTTGGTTCTCTTTAGTGATGTTTTGGATTCGAATGTTGTGAATGGAAATAGCAATATTGGGAGAGCTTTTCCTCCAAAAGAAGACCGATCCGACTCGGTGCGAATTAGTCTGAGTGCAATGCTACTGTTAATTAACAAAAGAGAGGATTACTGTGTTTACAAAGAATGTGGGGTAACTGTGTTTTTTGATTTGGGTTTCAACTTTTTGTATTACTACAAAGGACTGTTGTTAAAAAAAAGAGAGGATTAGTAGTTTTATGGGGGCCTATAAATAGGAGTGCCCTGCATTTCGTTTTCTTCACCCTAACAATCACCACTACTGAGAAACTTCACGTGTCTGCACCTATCCATCAACAAATCACAAGTCTTTCTTCTTCTTCTTCTTCTTCTAATTCATTAATTTCATACATCGATCTCTGCCTCTTTTTCAGCCCTGCTGCTTATAATTATAAATATTATCCTATACCAAGAGATATAGTGCATGTGCCCTTATCCATTAATTGGAAGTTTTCTGTTTATTGTTGGTTAGTTGGGAGTTGGAAGTTTCTGTTCAAACGTTTTCTGGTTCATAAGGGTTTATATATATATAATACCCTTCTGTTCGGTTCTTTTTTATATAAAATCCGGCGGCAGTTTTTTGTTGGTTGGTTGAGAAACAGAGGAAGAGGAGAAATAATGGCCGAGAAGGGAAAGCAAGTGGGAGGTTCATCTTCGTCATTTACTGTGGATCTGTTTGGTCCCATTGACTCCTCTAAATCTTCCTCGTCAAGTGGGCTGTTTGGTTCTGTTTTTGGGCCATCCTCCACGGTACTTACTCCCGCACCACTTTTTTTTTTTTATTCAGCTCTTTCCAAGTCTTAATGCATGCATTTTTTCTTCCCATTTCTCTTCTGTTATGTTTTATTTGGGTGGATTTCCTCCTTGAGATTTTCAGATGCAAGTCTTTTTGCTGTTCGTTCTTGATGTCTTTGTGTAGTTTCTTCAAGATATTGCTGAGTTTTTTTGTCGATTGAGCTAAATAAATGTGGATAGAGAAGTTGTATTCCCACAGAAAGGGGTCACATTTACATTTTTGTTTTATATTCATGTTTTTACAGCATGACATTGAGTTTCACCAAGGAAACAACTTTTTAAGTTGATGACATTTATTTGATCAACAAATGCATCAAGTTGATTGCTTTGGGTTTTTGATATTTCAGGGGCTTGGAAAGGATTCCTCATATCCTGGAAGAAAGCATGATTATGGGAGTCAATACGGCCATGCCAAACATGGAACCACAGGTTTGTTTGTCTGTCCATCCATTTTCTTCAACTAAAATGTGCAGTATGAACTATTCTTGCAATATCATTTTTTTTTATTTTATAATATGTATAGTTTTGGTTCTTAATTTCTTCCCATTTAACAGAGTATTCAAGTCAGAGGGGAAGGGCAGACGGTAGTGGCAAAGTGAACGCTGAGAGGAATTCCGTTTATCAAAATGAATCAACAGAACCCTGCTATTTCAGCTCGTCAATTTACTATGGTGGCCAAGAAGTTTATTCTCCTGCTGGCCAGACTACTAACCCTCCGCCCAATGTGAGTCTATTATCTCCTTTCCTTGCTTAAATCAGTCATGGTTTGATCATTAGATAAACTACTATAACAAGAACAGGACCTGATCAAATTTTGAATTTTGGTTTCCCTTTTGTTAATTCCAGTTCAAGAAAGATGGTGGGGATGATGATCCTAATGGGAACAATTCGAGCTCTGCTTCCAGAGGAAATTGGTGGCAGGGTAAGTAACCCTTCAATGAACAGAGGACATGAAATATGAATATCCTTCTTCAAGTGTTATTTCTTCACCGAGAAATTTTGCTAATTGCCTTTTCTTTGTAAATCATTGCAGGGTCTCTGTATTACTGATCAGGATATTGTTGTTGTCTAACGTCAATAACCCATTAACAAACAGGTAACTTTACCGCATCTGAATGTTAAACTCTTGGACAATGTTATTGTACAACTTGGAGCTTACCTAAAGTTCGTATTTGTCAAATATATTTGCAGGGATCAACTGACACGGTTTCTTTTGGATTATGAATCGTGACCAGATGTTAGAGAGTAGATGTGATCCTTGAAGTTAGAATTTGGTTGTTGACTTAATAGTAGCCATTTTCAGAGTTGCTGTTGTTCTTCCTTGTTTCTTGTATTACGCGTAGTAGCCTCTCCTCGATCCCTCTCTTCTGGGATTCTGCTCATCTATGTGTAACTGTCTTGTACATGAAATGTTTTGCTTAAATAAAAATGCTTCAATTGCATCCATCTCTAGACTCTTTTAACTATTTCGTTTCGAAAAATATGGGGCCTCAATGCTTGTGGGTTGAGCCAAGACAGATGCAAAAACATAGGAAAGTAATCCAAGGCTCTGCCCGTTTGTAAGCAATTGATTTACCACAAATGACGAAACAAAAGTTCATAAAATCAACCATGCATGGTTTGCAACTTGTCGAGACTATCAAATGTGTGGTTTATTCTTCTATCTTCTCATTGTGAGAAGAAAGTTAATCCCATGGCCATGGTCCATGAAACTATCCTTTTCTCTAAGAGTTGTAATGGGTTTTGATTCAGTTTTGCGTTTGCATGGTTTTGAAGGTGGTGATGATGGTATTACAGGGTAGACAGTAAGACTTGCTTCGTAAAAGCTAACATTTAAAAGATTCCGGGAGTACATTTTGTGTTTGTTGCCCGTTGAATGGATGCCGGTGAAACAAAATATCCAATCATATTCATCTTCGGAAAACGATTGATTGTGAAATAAGAATATTTAGCATTTGACATTCGTTAGATTAGGATGCAATGGCTATTCTCATCTCAATTGTTGGATTGTGACCTGCGGACGATTGTCATTCAGTTGTTATATTCTTCTGATTGGAATAAACCCATACGGCCATATCAAACAGGTAAAAGTTAGACTATTCTCAATTGGTATCTGCTTGGATTATGCATCTGTGATATAAAAATGGAGTAAACAAAGGGCACGACTCTTAGGTTACAAATCCACACACAAGACTTATGTACTCAAATTGGAGTACATAACACTAGAAGTGGCTTCAAGCCTTCAGATATTACAGTACGCAATTACATAAAAACAATCTAGCCAGGATGTGTTCTTCTTTGAATCAGTGCTACCTAAAGCGAACATACGACCATACACAATCATGGCTAGCTGTCTTCATTCTTCCTCTTCAAGAATTCAGGGCAATGTGTAAGCTGCAGAAAAAACAGGACAGCTTGCATTGAGTATATGAACCCCGAAAAGTGGACTAAACGAACTAATAAGCATCAACAGAATCAAAACAGATTCAAATCTTAACCTTGAAAGGAAAATGTTAACATAATGTGTCAAATAAAAGCTTGGGTTCAGCGTGGCTTACCCCCACATTTGTAGCCAATTGGACGATCAGCTAGGTTGCAGCGCTTAGGAATAGTGATGGCGACTCCCGGCTTCACCCCAAAACTCTTAGCAGTGTTAGAAGCATCACAGCACAGAGACATTTTGGATTCTGTCCCACCCTCTTCACCTGAGTACAGCAGGTGCTAGAGACCGTAGCGTTCGCATCTTGTGCTGCATCTACACAAGAAGTTAGCTTCAAAGCTTCCACATCAGGAGTGGATTTTGGACATTCCCCAGCCCCATTTGCTCCAATAAAGCTAGAAACAGCTAAAGCAAAGAGGAACACAAAAGCAAAAACACACTTCATTTTGATCTCAGTTTTTACTATCTTCAGATTCTTCACTGATATACAATTCATTAGCAGCTCCCCTCAATTTATACTGAACTGAGTAGCTCAATTTTCTCTAAGAGCTGACACAGTGACACGTAAATCCCACCAAGAACACCAAGTTGGATGACCACATTCATTTTTCTAATGGCCTACTTTCTTTCTTAGGGGAGTAAGAAACAGAAAATTTTATGTCTACATTCGAGCAACCTAAAGCAAGTTGTCAACTTTCATGATGATCACTCCCATCTTTGACCTTCCAAAATTCCAAAAGAAGCATTAAGTACACCAGGTGTCAGCATCAGAACGATAGCAATTCATAATTCCATGGAGAAAATTTTAACAAGAACGATGACTGGAGAGAAGCCTTAACGACGGCTAGGCTTTCTTACTTCTCATTTACAACTTAGGGTTTGATTTATACAAAAATGAACGGTGGTAGATCACCGTAAAATATGAAAAACTAATCTACCTATACTAAATTAGGTAAAATAGATAAATACAACATATTTACTAAACCCAAACACATCAATATTTTGTTTCACCAACCAGATGCATCATTTCCTCAAATATGAAAGGAGAAAGATAGACTAAACCACATAAAACGTCTTATACATTTGGGCAAAAAATCATTTTCGTCCCATACATTTCAAAATGCTTACTTTCATCCTATTTTGTCCAAAACATGCGATTTTTCGACTTTTATATCCCAAATTACCTTTCCGTCTAATTTACTGTCAAATGCGGGTATTTTTATCTTTTAGCATGACTTTTGGTTTTTGATTAAGTAAGAAATTTAAACAAATAATTATTTAATGATAAAATTAATAAAAGAAATATTTTCAAATTAAAAAAAAAATAAAATAAAATTTTCTACAATTTAGCGGGTGGGACACGTGATTTAGTGATGGCAATATGTCCACTTGGCTTAATGTCAAGATACCATCTGTAGATGTACGCACTTCATAATACTCTACGAGAATGAAAGAAAAGGAATAGAATTTCTGGAATGGTAAATTTTTAAGGTCCAAAAATGGGATGGATGGATGTGGAAATTGGGTTCAATTTTACCACTGTTACAAGTTACAAAGAATATGTGGTACTGTGTTTTTTGATTTGGTTTCAACTTTTTTGTATTACTACAAAGGACTGTTTGTTAAAAAAAAAAAAAAAAGAAAAAAGGAGAGGATTAGTAGTTTTATGGGGGCCTATAAATAGGAGTGCCCTGCATTTCGTTTTCTTCACCATAGCAATCACACCACTACTGAGAAACTTCTGCTTTGTTTGGTTTTTTTTATGGTATTTTCAGAATAATTAAATATTAACTGTTTCATTTCAGCATACTTTTTTACATTTCCAATATAAAAAACACCTAAAAACACACACTAAAAAACCAAACAAACAAAGCGATGTGTTCTGCACCTATCCAACAAAAGTTCATAAAATCAACCATGCATGGTTTGCAACTTGTCGAGACTATCAAATGATTGGAATAAACCCATACGGGCATGTCAAACAAGTAAAAGTCAGACTATTCTCATTTGGATCTGCTTGGATTATGCATCTGTGATAAAAATGGAGTAAACAAAGAGCAAGACTTTTAGGTTAGAAATGCACACAAGGGCTTTTTATTATATAATAACACTAGAAGTGGCTTCAAGCCTTCAGATATTACAGTACACAATTACATAAAAACAATCTAGCCAGGATGTGTATTTTTTTTAATCACTGCTACCTAAAGCAAACATACGACCATACACAATCATGCCTAGCTGTCTTCATTCTTCCTCTTCAAGAATTCAGGGCAATGTGTAAGCTGCAGAAAGAACAGGACAGCTTGCATCAGAACTTGAGTGTATGAACCGGAAAAGTAAACTAAAAGAATTAACAAGCATCAACAGAATCAAAACAGATTGAAATCTCAGCCATGAAAGGCAAACGTTAACATAATGTATCAAATAAAAGCATGGGATCAGCGTGGCTTACCCCCGCATTTGTAGCCAATTGGACGATCAGCTAGATTGCAGCGCTTAGGAATAGTGATGGCGACTTCTGGCTTCACCCCGGAACTCTTAGCAGTGTTAGAAAGCATCACAGCACAGAGACATTTTGGATTCTGTCCCAGCTTCTTCACCTGAGCACAGCAGCTGCTAGAGACTGAAGCGGTCTCATCTTGAGCTGCTTCTGCACAAGGAATCAGCTTCATAGCTTCCATATCAGGAGTGGATTTTGGACATTCCCCAGCCCCATTTGCTCCAATAAAGCTAGAAACAGCTAAAGCAAAGAGGAACACAAAAGCAAAAACACACTTCATGTTGCTCTCAGTTTTTTCCTATCTTCAGATTCTTCACTGATGCAAATTCATTAGCAGCTCCCCTCAATTTATACTGAACTGAGTAGCTCAATTTTCACTAATTGCTGACACGTAAAATCCACCAAGAACACCAAGTGGGTTGAGCACTAAAGGAAACTTTCATTTTTCTAATGGGCCACTTTCATTTTTACGGGAGTAAGAAACTGAAAATTTTTTTGTCTACATTTGAGCAACCTAAGCAAGTTTCAACTTTCATGATGATCACTCCCATCTTTGAGCTTCCAAAATGCCAAAAAGAAGCATTAAAAATACCAGGTGTCAGCATCAGAACGATACCAATTCATAGTTCCATGGAGAAAATATTGTTTCACCAACCAAATGCATCATTTCCTCAAATATGAAAGGGGAAAGATATAAAGTAACTACGAGGAACACAACATAAAATGGTATGATTACTCAGCGCACTCGCCGACCTTGCGCTAGATGTGCACTAATAGGCCATTAATCTCCAATCAAGATGAAAACTTTTCACATCTGGACTATCAAACTGAAAACACGAACAATCAAATTCATGCTCCAATTCGAGAAAATGCATCTCAAATTCATAGATAGAGAATAACCCAAAAACATGACAAAGTTGGCTCACTCATATACTACAAGAGAACTTCACAAATCTCAAATATAACACCTAAAAACTGAAAACTTTAATCCGATTTCCTACTGCGTGAAAGCATAGATCACGGTGGAAACATAAATCAAAAGACCAATGGGAACCAAAATTACAAGAGGAACTACAGCACCTAAGCTATGTGGGCTTCCACATGACAAAGTCCCGAGCTTAATCTGAACTACATTAATCAAAGCAAGCATCAAAAACAGGCACCCGGAAGCCGATCCGGCGGCAGATATCACGTACCCGACCCGAAGAGCGTTTTTATTGACGAGGGCCAAATCGAAGGTGAAAACCGTCCGGTAATGGGCGGAGCGGGACAGCCTAATGGCCTGCTTCAACGCGAGCGCAACCAGGCTGGAGAAGAGGAAGCAGCAGAAAGAGTACACGTGGAAGGCGACGAGATCCTCCGCTACTTTCGGCCCGACTTCGCATTTCGGGTCGGTGTTGAGTTTGTTATCCGGATCCCTCGGGTTCCAAGTTAGGCCGATGAAGACAGCCAGTGTGAAGAGAGAATTCACGTTAACTATTCCGTCTAACGCCGTTATGTGGATGGTTGTGGCTAGTTTAGGGACCCCTGAGCTGGACATTTTGATCGGATAGAAATGAGCGCAGTGATTAAAAGCAATGTGCAGTCAATCTAGATAGTTTTCAGTCTTTCAGATACTGACCGGCGATTAGAGTTTTTCCACCGTTCTTTTGACGGTAAAAAGCACCCCCGCCTGGATGCTTTAGAGTTTCGACAAGAGTCAAGCTTACGTGTTTCCTTTTTCGTGTCGGAAAATCTCATTGGCCCAACTTTTTTATTTTTCTCCAACGATCTGGCCCAATTGATTTCCTTTTGCTTTTGATTTCTCACAAATTTGATAATAAGCCGTACTCCAAAATATTAATGTGAGTCCGAGTCCTTAGAAATAATGGACAGCTTTGAAATTTATTCGTTTCAATTGACATTTGAATTCAGAATCCGTTCATTTCAACTTTGAATTTATCGATGGCTTTCAAGTAAATCTAGAACATTATATTACCTCTATCCAAAAAAATAATCCATATTGGATTTGGACATTCGATATCATCTATTTTTTTTGGAACCGCACAAAACTAGAGTATTTGTACATGCAATTTAATGAGCTCTTAGATCCCATTAGTATCTATTCCTCAATCTTACAACCATGATTCCAAGTCACCAGATGAGGAGGTTTCTTGAATGAACTTCACCGAATTTCAGAAGTCAGGGCAAACAATTCTGCAAGCAAGCTAACAGAATCGATATAATAAGATTTGTTGCAGATCAGGGTATCAACATATGATGAAACTGCAAAAGATCAATTCTGAACTAAGGTGCATTCAAGGTAAACAAGGAAATCAGTCAAAACGCTCAGTTCCACATTGGGGTATGCGAGGGAGAAAGGCAGGCAGAAACAGCAACGCACCCCGGATCTCAAAAAGAAAAAATGAAAAATAAACCAAAACAACACGCGGAAATGGCATTATTGAACAGCAACTTCCTATCTCCAGTGTAGGGCAATGCCGACCTGCAACTGGAGTATTCATGAGGCAAAGAGAAAGAGCATCGAGTTGTTTAAGGTAAAAAAATCCGTAAGCACGTGTATCTTCCCCACAAAACAACACAGTTCCGAGAGGAGAAAGATTAAAACCACTCTGGGAACCGGTTTCAACTAGATAATAATAATAATACTCATTAAGCTGGTAGTAGAAAATAGACAAAAAAAAAAAAAAAAAAAAAAAAAAGAAAGAAAGAAAATCTCCCCACATCTGCATATCTAGCTATAACACCATGTACAGGAATTTGAAACAATAATTAATTAAAAGGAACAATGATCTTGGGGGCAAATGTTGAATAAAAACATACCTAGTCTTAAAATATACCAAATTTCTATTGCAGCGAGAAGGAGTTGTCCTAGAAGGCTACAGCATTTGCTTCAAAACTAACTGAAACAGATCCTGTTTAACTCTACGACTGGTATGCTTCATTAAATTCAATAATCTAATCACAGATAAGGTCTTGAAGTCCTAAACTATAATGGATCCCCATGCAAGGGACATTCTAGGCCTATCAGTGCTTGCAAGCTGAAGCACACATAACATTTTCTTGAGCACACAGGATTGTTTAAAATGCGGCACTGCGTATGAATATGATCAGACCAGTAACAAAAGAACCCATTTTTTTGTTTCTCCTCCATCATACAGGGTTTTGAACAACACACAAAAGAACAAGTAAGAACCTACATGGCACGTTAAACTAACAGAAGTGATGAGCATTGATCAGTCATCATTATCCAGTTATTAATGAAAAGTCGAGATCCTAATGTGTCGGTCTAAGATATGGAAAGTAAGAAATACACATAATGACCTGCCATTTTTGCCTGCCGAATATCAAGCTCCGGAAAAGTAATTCACATAGCTGGTAAAAGGCTACAATGTAGTGTCAACTAATCTCTGTGGCATCTGACTATTTAAGAAGGGATTCTTGAATACAGAAACATAAACTCAAACTACAATTCATACTTATCCGCATAATCCACACGCCAGTCCTCAAACTAAGCAATTCAAGGCAAGTACAAAAATTTATGGTTACGTTCTCTACCTTCACAACAATTCTAATCAAAGACTACCTCAGTTTCTTCATCTAATGAGTACTGAATTCAACAAATGATTGAACAATGAGCATCCCCACATTGACAGTACAGCAAACAAATCAATTGCTATACAAAATAAACTGTCTAAACTGAGTTTCAAGGAATGATAATATTCCAAGAACATTACCAAATTTCTGGCTGCACAAATCAAAATTAGTGATGAAGCTATTCAAAACATGTAGCATTCACATTAAAAGCTGGAAACTGAAAGAAAAACAAATTTTGGTATAAAAAGAAACAAAAAGCAACTCCATACCAAACCACAACTTCAAAATATGATCTAACAAGTCATAAACAACTACAGCTAACAGCGTTACTGTTTCTTCTTGTTGTTGATATCATGAAGAACACAAACATCGGCAGCAGTTTTCATCTGAATCAAATTTACTAACTGCTTGGTTCCCCATCCAAACCCCAGCAACCCAAGCAACCCTGCCGTGATCCAACTCCTCCTCACAGCATTTGCCAACACCAATCTCAAGCTCTCAATCTGAGTCTCCGCCAGAAGAAACAACATGATATAGAGAACTTCACAGGAAACACAACAGAAACCCATGAACATTTTGTTCCCATAGTAAGCCCTGAAGAGCCAGCTAGTGCTGTCCTTGACGTCTTTGTGGCTAGTTTTCCCCAGCAAGAATGTACTGTACATCTGGAACCAGTGGCTGCCAATATCAAGAGCCAAAAGGAACAAGAAAATTAACCCCGGGCGGTAGACTTGGGAGAGGATCAACAGGAGGCAGGCGGTGCTGACCCGATCGGTGACCATGTCGAGGACCGCGCCGAAGGTGGAAACCTGATTGAACTTCCGGGCGAAGTGGCCGTCTAGGGCGTCGCAGACGAAGCTGATGAGGTAGAGAAAAGAGAAGAGGATCTTGTTTTGGAAGCAAATTGCGAAGGCGACGCAATTCATGAGAATTCTTATGTACCCGATTATGTTAGGGATGTAGAGATACACATCTACAGTGGTCGGAACTTTGGTTCCGCTGCTTCTGTTGTCGGCCATGGGTGTGAGAGCTAAGCGGAGAAAGGATTTTGTGGTGGTGGTGATGTGGTGGCCGACGGAGGAAGGAGGAGGAGGAGATGGTGGAGATCCGTTTTCAGACGGATTTTATGAGCGGGTTTTTGTAATTTACTTGGAGGGTCCACTTTTGAAGTCTGGATTGGATGTGGGTTTAGATGTGGAAAAACATAGAATAAAACGCAAATACCCAATTTGGTTATTTTATTTTTTTTTGGGTGCAATTAGTAATTTGTTAGTTTTATTATTTATTCGTTTGCTTTTGCCTTTTAGCATATAACCTCTTCAGCCATTGAACAGTTTATAAGGGAATGTTAAACTAGTAAGTAAATTATTGCTACTTTCCACATTATATTGTATTCGTAAATTTCCATTACACGCAAGATTTCACATGAAATATGGAATCTGATGCCCATAAAAAGAAACCAAAATAATTATTTATTAGGAAAAAAAAAAGTTGATTCAGCATCAGAAATTGGCAGAATATTTTCAGTCCACTATATGCTTTTAAATTAAGTTAATTAATCAAGGCACATCCAAAAACTGATATGGCAAATCAATCGTTCTACAGAGTGAAACGTGCCTGTAAAGTATGCATGATATTGTGCTAGGTTTTCAGCAATCCCTTGCAAATGCAAACAGAGATGCATTACACAAAATTGCACCTGAGTTTGTAAGGCCAAAAGGTAAGAATATGAGTTGAACAGAGATAACCATGGATATGCATTCATGGGTGAAGCCCATACCCCATGAATTAATAGCAGAAAATGAATGAAGTTTGAAGTTGTAAAAACAAACCAAAAAAATTGGGAAGGGTGCAGAAAAAGGAAGGAAAGGAGCGTTGGTGAACAATGGCAAGAGTGATGTCCCCAAATTGCAATAATGAAGAAAATCTCGGGGTAAAAAAAGTGTATCATTGTTGTAAAAATATAACGCCGTTGCCGGGGATCGAACCCGGGTCACCCGCGTGACAGGCGGGAATACTTACCACTATACTACAACGACTTCATGTTAGAAGCACCCGTTGTTTTTAAGTAATAGAAAAATTCTTGAAGACAACATTAAATCACCTTATGTTCAAAGGTCGACAGTCTACTTCATTATTAAACCATCTGAATCATTGAGTCATCCAAGCCCAAAGCACGGATGATGTTATCTTTTGTTTCTTGTCTAACTCAAAAGATACAAGAAAAAAGGTTTGAGGCTAATGAGTATGTATCTGAATCTGAAGGAGATCTCAAACTTCACCAGACACATAATGATAAAGAATTAATGAAGTTCTTTTCGATAAAAAAATTCTGGATGATTTTCCCTTCTATAAAAACACCATTTCTCATAAATACTATCACTTAAAAACCCCTCAAACACTAAGTACAAGAAATCTCAATGATTAACTTAGCAACTACTGATTCTATTTCCATGCAGACAACTGCTTCTGCTGTTGCTCGGCACCTTCTACAACTTTACTGGTGAAACCCGTATCAGAAGATTTCTGTGAAACAGAACCTAAGCCTTCGAGAAGAATGCCGCAGTTCTTCACCTTCACTTCACCGCCAAGATAATTTGTCAACACTCTTTTTACTCCAAGACCACGTCGAGCAAGCTTGTTGCTGCTACCATAGATTAAAGGAGTTCTGTCCTCCCTTGGAGAGCAAGTAGCCCGTGGTGCAGGTGAAAAGTTCGGTGTGCTAATGGCTGTTCCACAAGGAGTGCCCGAGACTGGCACGGTATATGGGTTACCAACCTTCCTTTGCGCAATTATGCTGACTTTCGGCGTTGATGAGAGGTTATCGGACTGCTTAGTCAAGTCATCCACGTAGAGTAGATCATCAATACGTGCCACAATGTTGAAGGCTAGGCTCTCCAAGACCCTTGAATAGCTCTCTAAAATGGACTTTCCGACATCCTAGGAAGTTGTAAAGTACTGATCAGATGAAAGAACCAAGCACATTGACTTGGATTTTTAACTTGTTAATTGGTAAATGAGATAAACTAATACCTTGTTGCATTGAATCTTGCTGACATCTAAAGCCGTTTGGCTAAGGCCGGGGAATCGCTGTTTCAGACAAAGCAAGAGGTTTTCTGCTCTTTCGGCAAGCAATTCTCGCTTATCCCCATCAATCATGAAGTCCTTGACCATCTCCCATGAGGACTTCGCTGTAGAGCGACTTGGATAAAGTTGGTTCCGGGTACGGACCCTTCTGCGCCACACATAAATTGATGCCTCGACACGGTTTGCAATATCAAGAGCCACATGCTCTGAGGACAGGTCTATGCAATCAAGCAAGCATTCAGAAGAGAAATGATCCGAAGTAATGTAACGATAGATAACCTCCCCTAAACAGGATCTTCCAGTCTGCCGACCAACAAAAAGAACAAAGATTCCATGTCATAATTGCAATATATATCGTCAGGTTAACGAAAAAATCATTAGCGAAGCTGACGCCAAATTTCAAAATAGGTTTTGCATGTTTATGCAAATTTGTGATGTTGACAGCATGTTGGACATTTAATATGTATTTTTATCACTAATAAATGCACTACCAAACTAGTCAGTCTAATTAGTGTTTGAACATTACTATCGCTCAATGTAGAAATTCAAACTTCAAACCTTTGGAAGAGTTTCTATAAATGAGTCAGGAACTTCCATTTCAGCCAAAGCAGAGTTGTTGATTGCCATTGCAGCTTTCAGAATTTGAGCGGCAGATTCACGCTTATGAATTAACTTTTTCCTGGTATCCTCAAGGAGACCACAGGCGTGGACTCTTGGTACAGGCAACCACCATTTCTCCTCTTGCCTATGTATGGTTTGGCGAAAAGAAGCTGATCCATCAGCATCAGGGGTCTCTACATCCTGATCAACATACCAAAACTCCGTGTTGTTGGTGAAACTGTCTAGTATTTCCTGGAACAGAAGGAGTAGCTTTTATTGGAGAGCAGTTTATCATGGGAAACCAAATCCCAAGGGAATATAGAGTACTCTTACGAGAAGCAAATAATCAAGTTTGCGGAGAGCTGGGAGGTTCATGAGGATATCTGATCGAGGTCTGCTTGTCATAACCTGAGTTAAAAAATAGTGAAACTGTTACACAAACTGAGAAGACCATATATTTAGCAATGACTCTTTAACATTAGGCTATCTGAATTCACAAAGTGAACACCTAAACTTAAAAATATGCTTTCAGACCTTTCAGATTAACTTATTAGGTTTAGACAAAAAGTTCCTGAACTTATTGTTGTAAATGATGTGAGCTTAATGTCATACCAGAAGTAGGTGCTGAAACTAAATGTGGCAAAGATCATCAATGCACAAAAATTGCAGTTGAGGAAACAAAATGCGAAGAACAAACAAACTACCTCAAGTTTAGTTCCATCAGCAAGTGTTTGAACAGAAGGTATCAATTCTACTATGTGATCACCAACAGAAAGAAGGCATTCCATTTCCTTCCGCCACATCAGCTTCTTTTCAGAAGGCAAAGGGGACAGCCTCCACAATTGCCCAAACACAGTAGCTGCAATATTTAAATTTGCCAGAACTTCAGTTAACGTTACAACAAACCAGAAAGCAGTAACAACAAGAAAATAGTCCAAAAAGAATGGTAGATATCAATGATTTTATGGTAAATCCGAAGATATACTAGGAAAAGAAAAAAGAGAGAGAGAGAGTGGATACCGCATAGGTTAGTCAAGGCGTTTGAAATAGCCAATGCTGGGCACACCCCTCTTCCACTACCAGACATGTCTTCACCAAGTAACAACTTTGCAAATCTCTCTTTCATCATATCAATTTCTATACATTGAAAGGGAGCATGCAAAGAATCAGTAAAGAGGAGCAAAGCAAATTCACGAATAGCTGTAAGCATACTTATTTTCAGCTAAATTTTAATCACATCATTCCCAAATTACTACTTCAAGTGCTGGAAACACGGAAGGGCTACTAAATTAGGTTTCTGGCCTTAATTAAAAGAGCAATGACAAATGTTGGTGCATAGGTGAGATTCCAAACCAACAGAATTCCAGCACTGTTGAATTTCCCAAGTGATCCACAGTGATTAACAGTGATAAACTTCAATAATACTAATACAAGGACATCCATTAAAAAATTGCTTTTAAAACACATACAGCACTCCCAGTTCACTAAACAAGTGTATTGAAGATCTGAAAAAGCCATAGATTTCAAATCATTTTCCTAAAAAAGGACAAGAACAGACCTGAAAATCGGGAGCCCAATTTCCTTAACTTGATTGGGCCTTCACCCTTGTTGAATTGAGGTTTCTTGTCCTCCTCAATTTTGGTAGATTTCGCTGGTGGAGGCTTGGGAAGAGGCCAGCCTCTACGACCGGGCGAAGAAACACAGTAGTCCTTCGCAGAGTAGCCATCAGAACTGGATTTACTCCAGCTGCTACTGCTGGTTCTGGACTCAGTCACCGAATCACTCAAAGAATCTGAACTCCCATCTCCTTTCTCAGCCAAACCCCCCATTTAGCTAAAACCAAAAGGACCCAGGAAAAAAAAAACACAAAAAAAAAGAAATGAAAGGAGCAATCTTTGCCAATTTCGCTTCTGTTTTTTGCTACATCAAGCTGAGTGGGTTCATCTAGCCTCGGGATGGCATGGGGAAAATTTGTGGGTTCAATTCAAAAGGTGGAATTGTTGTTTCTTGGGTAATGGAGAGAGTGGAGAGAGTGGTGTGAGGTTACTTTCTTTTCTGATAATATTCCTTTTGCTTAAAAACTGTGGAAGGAGAGTTTGTAGCGTAGCGATGGACGCCAGTAAATATTTGATTTTCAAAGTTGTGAGAGGATTTTGGGCATCAGCTGCCCCCAACGGTCTATCTCCTTTTTAACTAAAGGACTAAAGAAGAGTGTGTCTTGAATTCTATAGCCTTTCTCTATTCAAATTACTCTTTATTTAATGTGAGACGGACTTCCTAGCCGTAGGGGCGACGGAGAAGTCAACATTTTGTCTGTCACAATTACGTTTTCGCCCTCTCAAAATAGTACTAAGCCACTACTTGTGTGTCTAGAAAATAATCCATGTTAAATTTTGAAATTTGTATTAAAAATAATACTCTTTTTCCGTTTCAAAATACGTGTCGTTTTAGCAAAATGGAAAAATTTCAAAATAAGTGTGGTTCTCACATTTCAATCCACTTTTTGTCCAAAATTATTCTCAAAAGAATTAATACTATTGGTGGACTTTTTTTTAATGGGGTTGGTTGAAGATATTCAAGTAATTTTATTACTCTATTTAAAGGTTTTTTAAACTATGTGCAAAGTGTAGAATGATACTTATTTTGGAATGGAGAAAGTACAGATATAAAAACTCAACGCCGGCTATTTTTGGAGACAGAGATTGTATTGTCTTTGCCCCCAAAATAATTATCCAATTTAAGTTTTCACCTTTAGTTTGATTTATACTAAATGTAAATTCTCATATGATAATAATTTCGGGACAAAAAGAATACTATTTTAAGACTGAAAGTAATTTAATTTATGGTTCTATTCCAATGTCTATTTTGGGATGGAAAGATTAGTGATAAATAACGGTAGTGACGTGGGGAATATGTAAACGAGCGTAATCACGAGATTAACATATGGTTTTTTAGAATTTTTTTCCTCCAAAGTAAAATGTTGGGCACTGGTTTTGGAGCGTTGGTGAAAATGCAAATGTGACGTGACATATGGTGAAAAGTGCAAACTGAAACATAGAAATGACGGGAGGCACAAGTTGGGTGCCTGTGAATTGTGATTGCGTTAATTTTGTCATGTCAATTGGAAAATTAGAAAAAGGATAGTCCATTTTTCACGGACATTCTTGATTTTATTGAATTCAGTATAACACGTGTATTCTTTATTTAGTGCTACATGATGGTAAATATGATGAAATGGAAGAAAAATAAAATTACTCTGGAGAGTTATGAAAAAACAATTAAAACAAAATTTTTTATTCAAACATTCATGTAGCAGGTTGCTAGGCATATTTGATTATACGCTCACTTTTTGGTTTTATAGTTTGAACTTTGAAACAATGGTAAGCTGTTTGTCTTAATTAATCAAGATAAATAATATGATTATTATGGCCAATAACCTGGAGAAATTGCACTGTTTATTATAGCCTTTGACTATAGATTTACGGGATTAAGCCTAGTAGAATGATAGGTATGTTTTACGACCAAAAAAAGTAGTAAAGGAAACAAAGAAGTCTATAGTGTTACCAGTCATTTATATGCGTGTATAAATGACCTACTTCCTAGTAATATGACAATTTACAGGTTTACGATGACAAATTATGCACCTCGATTGGACAAATTAATACGCATTTTGTTTTTCCAATGTAGCCGTCTTAAATACTCCAATGATTTAAATGGTGCATCCTAATAATCTAATGTTGTATTGCAGCTTAATGTTGACTAATCTAATCTAATCAATGCCATGCTGTCGCATCTCGACTTTGCTATCCGTTGCATCCCAATCTCTCTAAGAAAATAATAATAATAATTAATAAAAAAAAAAAAGATAGAAGGTCTGTTGGGAACTTGGAAATTGGATAGAATAAATAACATATTTTCGAATTACAATGATTAAACAAGGGCCATATAATGCTCAGAGGATATATTGTTAGACTTAAAAAAAAAAAACAAAAACAAATGTGCTTATAGTTTTACGTGTTTGTAGGATTTCATTGATTCCTTCTTTATATATTATATACAATAAATGTCTAAAACTATTACAGCGACTGATTTCATTTGAGTCGAATAGATTTCTTTCAGACGATAGAAATCGTTTAATAAATCTTTTAAAAATCTTTTAATGTTCATATATGGTTTAAGCTTTCTTTGTTTGGGCGAGATTTGCTTTAACGGTTAGAATGAAGGTTAATTATGCGTGGTTAATGAATAAGTACAATCCATACACCTTGTGCGACTCGATCATTCTTGTAACAGCTTTATCTTTTTACTTCTAAATGGTATAAAGAGTACTAAAATGAAACTTCAAGTTCTACTCTCTCTTTTCCCGTTTATTTTACAGAAAAGAACAAAATGGAGATAATGCTTTAACCAACGGGGTTCTTCATTTCGCGAGCCTCTTAGGCTTAAATTTTTTTATAAAAAAAAAGAAGAAAAAAGTGACTGGTCCAGGACTATATTGCTGCATTCTGTTGTCTAAAGCTAGAAAGAAAAGAAGAAAGTGAAAAGGAGTAAAAAGAAAAAAGCCTCAAACGGCTAGCAGCGAATAATTAGCTAACAGCTCGTGTTTAAACACAGCGACCACAGTCTAGAGGCAAAGACCACACCTTTGGCTTGTTTATTTCTTTACCGTTGTTAACAACAACAAAACATTTGACTTCACAGTTTACACTTACAGCATCTGCAAAAAGACACTGTGCCTTTTTTGTGGGCGTGCTACCCATTTCATGATATCGAAATTGGGATCGATTACGGAATTTTTATCTAGAAATTAGGTGGTGAAACTTAATCACGTCTATAATACTTTCTCCGTTTCAGAAAAATAATCAACATTAAGTTTTTATTGTGTTTTTAGTACAAATTTAAAAATTTAATATGGATTTTTTTGGAGGATATAGATAGTAATATTTTTTGTTTTCGACTCCAAAAAAAAAAAAAAAACAAAAACACACAAAAAAAAGGAGGAGCTACCCATTTTACATTTTTAATTATCACGGATTATTGAATTGAGTTGTTGCTGGCAAGTAGTGGGAATTGATTTTCCTCCCAGAAACGGCATATCATCTCACACCCCATTACTCAAACCTTTCATTACTTTTGCTCCTGCATATCGATATATAAGTTTGAGTCCATCAGTATAGAGCTAGTGTTTGTTGCCTGTTTGGTGGTGCAACATTTATGATGATGTGTGACGATTCTTACCTTGTTTATATTTTTCAATTTTTGAAATTCCAAACATAACGGAACTCATGCGTAACTTTCCAATTTCAAACTTCAATGGCCACATCAATTCATGATAACTCTACAAGCAGCAAAAGCCATCCTTTGTAATTTGTACGTTAGCTAACAGCATAAAAGTTTGTAGTAGTAGTAGTATGAATGAAGAAAAAACGTGGGTCGAGAAAAGTGTTTTTCTTTTTTAGATAATAATTACTCCCTCAGTCCCATAATTATTGTCCAGTTTGGATTTTCATTTCTAGTTCAAATTGTACTAAAAGTGAAATCTCAAACTGGACAATAATTTTGGGACAGAGGGAGTATTTTAATTGGCATTATAAGTTACAAAATTGATTTTTTGTTTAAACTAAATAACTACTGGCATATTTAATTTGTATATTAGATTGTATTCCATCTATTTTAAAAGATAGTCTATATTGAGTTTATAAATATGTACTGAAAATAGTATAAATCTCAAAACTTAATATAAATTTTTTTCTTTTTTGTAAAGAGGAAATATCAACTGTCGAGTTCTAAAATTTCGTCCCCATGCTTAGTGAAGTCCGTGAAGACATGATCCATGCTCCATGCTTAGGTTTGGGTTGATATTAACTTCATACACACTATCATTCTTCATAAATTATATATTAGAAAATGACATTTAAAGTGAAAAAAATAAAAAATAAAAAAAAAAGATAGTGTGTGATGTGGAGAATCTTTTGCTCTAGTTTTTTGTCACTTTTCCATTAAAAGTTTATCTCTCTGTAGAAAATTATATTTTTACCCTTAATTAATAAGTACACGTATTTTGTGAGGATAGTGTATATGTCTTTTCATTAGTCACTATTCCATTTCACTGTACAGTAATTTGTCATTGTTTCTATCATTACTCTTATATATTTGAGCAATGATAGAGATAATGAATAATTATAATGAAAATGTATGGTGACTAATGAAAAACAAGTACACCACATTTACAAAATATATTACTTGTTAATTAAGGGTAAATATTATTTCACAAGGAAGATATAATTTTAATAGTTAAGTAACTAAAAAATAGGGGGTCATAATTACTCTACACCAATCACTATATTTTAGGGATGTCAATTCGAGTTATCGGGTCAATTTCGTGTTATCTATTCCACATGATTCATAAGATTTTTTGGAGCAAAAATGTGAAAAAAACTCAAATTGTGTCAATCGTGTCGAGTTGTCTCTGTAAATCACTATATATATATATATATCATTTTCCTTTTTTAGTTGATTTTTACACATAAACACGACAATACTATATTTGTCACTATTTGTTTTCACTATATATATATATATCATTTTCCTTTTTTTAATTGATTTTTACACATAAACACGACAATGATGATTAAATGAAAAATCAGCAAAGAATGTTTATCCGGACTCAAGGCGGGTAGGTCCCGAAATATAAATATATATATATATCATTTTCCTTTTTTTAGTTGATTTTTACACATAAACACGACAATGGTGATTAAATGAAAAATCAGCAAAGAATGTTTATCCGGACCCAAGGCGGGTAGGTCCCTTTCGGGAGGCAACCTCTATTAACCAGCCTTTTAATACGGCTGCGTACGCAGGGTCTCAAACTCGAGACCTATGCTTAAGCTAGATCAGCACCTTGCCAACTGATCCAAGCGTTGGTTGGTTTACGAAAACATTTTCATCACTCTAATGCCCTCAAGCGCACTTCTTTTGGGCCAAATGGGAGTCATAAGGCCTGCAATTCATCCCATCCTATGCTTAGCTTCTTGGTTTCAGATATAAATGGACTAATTATTTCGTGAGGCACTCCTTCTAATCTTGAAGCACAGGTAGGTCTCTATTTTAGTTTCCATCTAACCAATGGTTCCGCAACAAGTCAGGATAAAAAATAAAAAATAAAAAATAGCACGATTAGAAAAAAGAAAAATTAACAGGGTTAAGAAATTTTGA